TGTTCGGCCTGAGGGGATGTAGGTATATATATATGTGTAGCTATTTCTTGTAGAACACGGAACCAAGTAACAGAAAAGACAAGTTTATTTACATCTCTCACTCGTATTGTTTGACAGTGATAGGAACGAAAGAGAGTTCATGAATGAAACGATTTTCGAGATTCAGAGATCGCTGTCACAAATCGCCGTGAAGGGAAACCCGAAGTTAGAATCGAATTCACTAGGAGGATTTATGGTCCCTGCAAGGAGACTTGTCATTACTCACGCTGAGAATCCTGAAAAATGGACCTGGAGTGCTATCTACGACAGACCACAGTAAGAATTTATTCAATGGAAAACTAAACTTTTTTTTTTTTTAATTCAACTTGGAGTACTATATTTTCAAAAATTATTTCATGAAAATTCAACACAAGATATATGATGTGTAATCATTTGATTACTTTTTTACATAATTTCTTGTAATAATGAAACTTTCATTTTTTTTTCAGCAAAGCAGACATCGAAATTGCAACGATGATTAACACTCACAGCTTAATAAAAATAAACGGAGATTTTCACACGAGAAAATTGATACCGGGGAAAAAGTACGAGGTGGTGTTTCTTGTGAGGCTACATGATACATCTTTGGGATGGAAGAATGACGTGACCCTGACGCTGAAGCTGGTCATGGGTGATAAAACCGGAAATGAGAAAGAGAAAAAGTTGTGCTTGGACGAATACATAGGAGAAAATTGGGTGGATATTCTTGTCGGAGAATTTGAGGCGCCGCCAAAGAAAGATGACGCAAAGATCTTTTTCTCGATGTCTCAGTATGTGGACACTGACAAGAAGAGTGGTCTTGTTGTCAAAGGTTTTGCAATTCGTCCAGCGTAGTGAGGCACAAAAGCAAAGCATATTGGATCAATTTAACCTTTTACCAAAAAAAAAAAGCATATTGGATCAAATTTCTGTTTTAACTATGTTTATATAACTTCATTTCAAAATAAGTTCAATGCAGGTCAATTTATGGTTTAAAGTTTGTACTCTTTTTTTTTTTTTTTTTGTAAGTCAGAGTCTGTACGTACTTTCTTGTTTTTGTTTTGGTACTGTTATGTTTTAAAAACATTTATGTCTTTATTTCAGTCAATAACATGTTTAACTATGTTTTATAAGAGTGTACACTTATAGTGATGTGAAAACGGATAGCTGCCAAAAGTTTTTTCAAGCATGCAAAGAAGAGATTGATTCTATCAACAAAAACAATACATGGTTTCTAATTGATAAACCGAGTGAGACAAAAGTTATTGGTCTCAAGTGGATTTTCAAAATCAAGAAAAATGTGGATGGTACTATCAACAAGTACATAAGGCACGGCTTGTAGCTAAAAGATATGTACAAGAATCCGGTATAGATTTTGATGAAGTTTTTACACTGGTTGCACGTAGAGAAACCATAAGATTGTTGATTGCATTGGCGTCGTCACATGGATGGATGTGAAAACAACATTCTTACATGGAGAATGTGTCGAAGATGATCAAATCAAAGTGGAGCATGTATCCGGAGAAGAACAATGTGCGGATATACTAACAAAAGTCTTAGCGAGAATCAATTTTAAGAAGATGAGAAGTTTGATTGGAGTGCAAGACCTCTCGAAGAGTAACTTGAAACTTAAGGGGGTGGATGTTGGATAATCTTCAATGTTAGCTTCAAGCCCAAGATATCTTTACCAAGTTGAGTTAGGATAAGATAGGCTTGATATAGTTATGATAGGATTAGGAGTTATCTAATTCAAGTTCAAATATGATTAGCAAGATGTGCTAACACTAGAAATATAATTGTTGAGGTGTGACAATTATATCAAGAGAGAACATTAAGAGTTTAGAGGCGTTTAGTTTTGAGAGAGTTTCTAAACATAAATAAAGAGAGTTATTCTTTATAAAAGCTAAGAGTTTTCTAAGAAACTTTAACTACCCATCACTTATGAACATACTCGGAATTGACCTTTAGACGTTCAAATTTCGAAGACAAGCTATAATCTGTTATAATAAACTACATGTTGACAACTAACATATTAAAAACTAGAAAAAGACCCACGCGATGCGTGAGAATAGTTTGAATATATTTTACCGTAAAAAAAATAAATTAGTTTAACCTAAAATATATTAGAACTTGCCTTAATTATAAAGAAAATATTAACAAAAAATCTTCCATATTATTCACTAAAAGTATTAGCAAAAAAAATCTTCCAATTTATTTATTCTCTACAATGACTTAAAAAATTGTAATTTTCATGTTTAAATGAATCATATGAATTGACAAAACATTATCAATATATTTGATAGGCTTGTGAATGAACATTTCCAGGGATATTGGGAAAATAATGAGAGGACTTTGTGTAAAAAAAAAAAAGAGGACGGTGGACAAGAAGTGAAAAAAATTAGAGAGTTGAGATAATATTTTGTTATCTTAAAAAGCATGGTAGTTTTCAAAATCACCCTATTTATATCATGGATGTTATGTTAAATTATCATTTATATCTCTTGCATCCATTTTGATAATTTGATTTATTCATTGTTTATGTAAATAGTTAGTTCACATAGCTATTAGTCTTTTAAATTTGAAAGGAAATTATAAGCATCTGTAGTCATAATTTTAAATGGTAGTATTCATAAGTGTTGTAAAATCGATTTTATAAGAGCTTATTAAATATTATCTTTTTTCTCTTATGTTATCTGTTTACTTTAAAATAATAGAAATTTAGGTATATTACTTTTAAAATATATAAAATGTCGAAATAGTGATTTAAAATGTAGGCGACTTAAACATCATTAGAGCATCTCCAACTCCACTCTATTTTTTTTTTCTCTAAACTCTATTATAAAGCACAATTCTCTCCAACCCTACTCTATATTTTCACTCTAAAATAGAGTAAAAGAGAAGATTATTCTATATATAGAGGAACTCTATTTTTTTTTTACAGTACCTCTATTTTAGAGTAGGGTATAAAGTGATACATTTGAGAGAAACCATGCTCTATTTTAGAGTAAAATATTGAGATTTACATTAGAGATGGTCTTAGGAGGTAATTTATACAATTAATGCTTCATTAATAAAAAAATCATTTATTAATAACAGGATGTAAGGATGTTCATTATTTATTTGAAAGTGAAAAGAAAAAAAAAAAGAAAAATATGGCACATATCGATTAAAACAAATATTAGAATATCTTATATATGTTAATTCTTTTTGACAGTAAAGAGGAAAAAGAAATATATATATATATATATATATATATATATATATATATATATATATATAAGATATGATAGTAATTATTGAAAATTGCTAAGTTGAAGATTGTTAAATTTTTTTTCAATTTATACCGCATTAATCAGAAAATTAATTTTTCATAATAATTTATTTTAAAGGAAGAAGAAAAATATGATTCATGTTGGCAAAAAAAAAAGAGCAACTTTTATATATGTGTAAAATAACTTTTAAAACTATTTTTATATGAGATTTGAAATTGTATTTAGTGATTTTGAAAACTTGCCACCTATTTAGAATTGTTAGCTAAACAAAATTCATCACCAAACAAAATTCATCACCAAAAAACATATATATATATATATTAGGAAATATTTTCTTTATTTTCTGATCAAAAATAATAGAATTCAAATATACACATCATATCTTACCATTATAAACGTAATAACATATGA